TAATCAAGAGACAGAGCTTCATATTCAAGAGCAAATGCGCATGTTGAGTAGCCTGAGAAGCCCCAGATGAAATTCTTTGCCCTTAGCTCTGCGGACTGAATTGATCAATATGCATAATGCTTGTACTTGTTCCTGGATGGGCTGTTCTGCCTCTTGACTCTTTATAAGTTTGGGATTTAATTTTGAAAAACCAAAGAGCACTACAGAACAATTTAAATAAAAGCACACGTCTTCCACTGACATTCTGTGAAACTGACTTGAATTGCTTGGTGCTGAGTTTTCTCCTTTCTTGGGGTTTTTGCCTTTTAAAAAACAATTTTTCTTGAGCCCTTCCTTGCTGGTGAGGCTCAGTCAGTTGGGGCATCGTCCCATGCACTGAAGGGTTGTGGGTTTTCTCCCTGGTTGGGGAGCATCGGGGGGGGAGGGGGCAACTGATCGATGTTTCCCACATTCATGCCCCTCCCTCCCTCCTTTCTTCCGAATCAATAGGCATGTCCTCAGGTGAGGATTGGAAGGGGAAAAAATCTTTAAAAGATATTTTTTCGATTCCAGTTGACATACAATATTATATTAGTTTCAGGTGTACTGCATAGCGGTTAGACATGTATGTAACTTATAGAGTGATCACTCTGATAAGTCTAGTACTCACCTGGCACCATACACAGTCATTACAATATTATGACTATACTAGAGGCCCGGTGCACGAATTCATGCACGGGTGGGGTCCCTCTGGGTGGCTGCAGGGATCAAGCCAAAACCCGCAGTCCGACACCGCCTGCAGCTCCTGCTGGTCCCTCCCGCTCATCCTGGCCTCACTGTGCCTGCCGCGGGCTCTTGCCCAATCAGTCCCAATCAGGAGAGGCTCGCACTGCCGCAGCAGCGCTCACCAACCATGAGTCCTGCGTCTGGCGCCCTCCCAAGGGGAGTGGCCTGCGGGATCGGGCTGAAACAGGCTCTCTGACATCCCTTGAGGGGTCCCGGATTGCAAGAGGTTGCAGGCCAGGCTGAGGGACCCCACCGATGCACGATCAGGCCGGGGAGGGACTGCGGGAGGGCTCCAGGGCATGTCTGGCCCGTCTCACTCAGTCTGGATTGAACAGACCTCAGCAGCAAGCTATCCTACTGGTTGGAGCATCTGCCCCCTGGTGGTTAGTGCATGTCATAGCGAGTGGTTGAGCAGCCTTAGCATATCATTAGCATATTACTAATATTACTTTGACTGGTTGTTCGGTTCTGCCGTTTGGTCTATTTGCATATTACCCTTTTATTATATAGGATTCCCTAGGCTGTATTTTATACCCCTGTGACTACTATAACTGGCAATTTGTATTTCTTAATCCCTTCACCTTTTATACCTGGCCTCCCATCTCCTCCCATCTGGCAGCCTTCAGTTTGTTCTCTGTATCTATGAGTTTGTTCATTTTGTTTATCTTTATGTATGTATTTATTTAGAGAGACAAAGGTAGAGGGAAGGAGAGAAACATGGATGAGACAGAAACATCGACTGGTTGCCTCCCTCAACCTGGATATATGCCTGACTGGGAATCGAACAGGAAACCTTTCAGTGCAAGGATGATGCTCAACCAAACCACAGCAACCAGGTCATTTTGTTTTTTATATTCCACATGTAAGTGAAATCATATGGTATTAGTCTGACTTAGCATAATTCCCTCTAGGTCAGTGATGGTAAAACTTGAGCTCGGCGTGTCAGCATTTTGAAAAACCCTAACTTAACTCTGGTGCCATGTCATATAGAAATTTTTTGATATTTGCAAACATAGTAAAACAAAGATTTATATTTTTGATATTTATTTTACATATTGAAATGCCATTTAACAAAGAAAAATCAACCAAAAAAGATGAGTTCGCGTGTCACTGCTGGCACGTGTGTCATAGGTTCGCCATTACTGCTCTAGGTCCATCTGTGTTGTAAATAGTAAGATTTCATTCTTTTTCCATTGTATATATCCATCACACCTTTACCCATTTGTCTATTGATCGGCTCTTAGGCGGCTTCCATATCTTGGCAACTGTAAATAATGCTTCAGTGAACATAGAGAAGTATATTATTATCTTTTTATTTCAGAGAGGAAGGGAGGCGGAGGAGAGAGAAACATCAGTGATGAAAGAGAACCATTGGTTGGCTGCCTCCTGCATGCCCCACACTGGGGATTGAGCCAGCAACCCAGGTATGTGCCCTGACTAGGAATCGACTGTGACCTGGTTCAGAGGTCAATGCTCAACCAGTGAGCCACGCTGGCCGGGCAGCATATTATCTTTTTGAATTAGTGTTTTTGTTTTCTTTGGATAAATACCTGGAAGTGCAATTGCTAGAGGTATGACTGCTCTCTTTTTAACCTTTTGAGGAAACTCCATACTGTTTTCCATAGTGGTTGCACCAATTTCCAATTCCATCAACAGTGTATGAGGGTTTCCTTTTCTCCACATCCTGGCCAACACTTGTCGTTTGTTGATTTATTGATGATGGCCATTCTGACAAGTGTGAGATGAGATCTCATTGTAGTTTTTTATTTTTATTTATTTATTTTTTAAAAATATATTTTATTGATTTTTTACAGAGAGGAAGGGGCTGCCTCCTGCATGTCCCCTACTGGGGATGGACCCTGAAACCTGGACATGCACCCTGACTGGAATCGAACCAAGACTTGCTGGTTCGTAGGTCGACACTCAACCACTGAGCCACACCAGTTGGGCTCAGCTGAGTTTTGGGGGAGCTCCCAAAGACTGCCCCTAAGACTGTCTTCAACCTTTGGCATTTTAGTTATTGTGTGTCTTGGTGTGGGCCTCTTTGAAACTCAGCGCTTCCTGGCATTGTATGTCTGCTTCCTTTGCCAGGGTAGGGAAGTTTTCCATCATTACTTCTTCAAATAAGTTTTCTTTTCCTTTTTAAATCCTCACCAGAGGATATTTTTCCATTGATTTCTAGAGAGTGGAAGGGAGAGGGAGAGACAAAAACATCGATGCGAGAGAGAGCGAGTGAGAGACACATCAATTGGTTGCCTCCCTCACATGCCCTGACCAGGGCCAGGGATCAAGCCTGCAACCCAGGTTCATGGCTTTGACTGGAATAGAACCTGGGACCCTTCAGTTAGCAGACCGACGCTCTATCACTGAGCCAAACTGGCTAGGGCTCAAATAGGTTTTCTATCCCTTGCTCTTTCTTCTTCTGGTCCCCTTATGATGGAATGTTGGTATGCCTGAGGTTGTCCCAGAGGTCCCTTAAACTACCTTCATTTAAAAAAACACTCTTAAAAAAAATATTTTTATTGATTTCAGAGAGGAGGGGAGAAGCAGAAACATCAATGATAAGAGAATCATTGATTGGCTGCCTCCTATATGCCCCCTACCAGGGATCAAGCCCGCAACCCGGGCATGTGCCCCTTCATTCTGCAGGCCGATGCTCTATCCACTGAGCCAAATCAGCTAGGGCAAACTACCTTCATTTAAATTTTTTTCTCTTTTTGCTGTCCTAATTGGGTATTTCCCACTATCTTGTCTTCCAAATCGCTGACTTGATCCTCTGCTTCATCTAATCTGTTGTTGATTCCCCCTAGTGCAGTTATTTTTAACCTTTTCATCAC